TTCGTATTTATCATCCAGTTTCTTCGTGTCCTGATAGGCCTTAATATTTCCTTAGCAAGAATGAATTATTACACTCCTCAGGAAATGTCATCCACCAAGAAACAGCGAAGCGTGTAAGTACTACAAAGTTATCGTATATTTTCCTTTACCATTTTCCACATTTAATTGTATTTTTCAAACAGTTTTAACAATCGTCGTTACACACCGTATGTTCATCGAAGCAGTTATACGCCATCCGTTCCTCAAGATGAAACTGTATCGTGCAAGAAACAGTGTGGTGACGTGTGAGTACCATAAAGCTACTGCATATTTGCACACATTTTTTACACATATAATTGTATTTATTTTACTTTATACATTCTTTCAGTTCTGATGATGAATCTCATAACCCACCGCGCATCATGTGCAGGAGGTTACCGCTAACATCTACAGCATTCAAATACATAGATATTGGGATCAGAGTAGTACCTCGTGCATCCTACGTAGAAATAATTCTCGGCGATAATCAAGGACATCAGATGGAGTTAGATCAATCAATTTGGAAAGAATACAGAAATAATCAATCAAAAATAGACCAGCTGCTAAAGGCAACAGATGCGTCATCATCGTCAGCGATACAGCTTAATCATTTAGCTATAGAACTAGTTAGAACGCGCCACGGAAATATTGTAAAAGTAACATCAAATAATACTTCTATGTACATGAAACCATCAACCATATCATTTTTATTTGAACTGGAACACTGTGTAGACCGCATATATTTTCAACTGTATGAAGATCTAGAAACTGTACATGAAAGCTTCGAAGAACTCGTTGTGCATGTACAAGATATGTGGATGAGTGGCGAAAAAAAAATGCGATACACCGAACGATGCAGTTAGAATCCTACACGACAAGTACTATAAAAATTCAACCGAAAATTGTGAATTTATTTCGATCATAAAGTGCGAATTAATGGCTTATGCCGTGAAAGAAATTCTTGCCGAAGCCCATAAGCGGGGTGATGTATTTTGATAAATTGAGATAATAAAATGAGATTAAAATTTTTTAATGACATTCATTTTCTTCCACTTCCAATCCATGCGTATAAGAATAGCGCGAATCAGTATATGTTCACAGATTACGAGAATAATTTTGTGTAATAAGGGGTTTGGGAATAAAAATAAAAATCATTGACATATTTGTACATTAAAAATTGGGATCGAGCGTCGAAGCCCGACTGCTGAGAGCGACTTGGGTCAAGCACCGAAACCAGGCGGCCGACAGCAACTTTCTTATCAAGGTGCATGATGTCAGAGAGTTCAGAGCGTTTATACTCGCACCTACTGCGTCGACATGTAATAGATATCACCGGGAATGTCTTGATGGTAGACGCGGGATGAGACAGAGGATCGAGCGCTGATACACAGTTTTGACAGAGGCATTATTTGCTAGATGCAGAGTTACATGTAATAGATATTGTCGGAGACGTCTTGATTAGCGCAGACGCCAGGGTGTGCATATTAATTTCCTTGGGATCAAGCACCCGCACAGACCTGCTGACAAAGATGGTGCGGGATGGGGTAAATGATATGAATGTGACATATATAAATGGCCTGAAAGCCTACAAAACCGCCACAGTAGGAGAACTGAAATCACCTGGAAAGAAACAGTCAGAGGATTTTTTATTTTAACTCCGAAGGAATTTATTTTAACACGAAGGAAAAGGTAAGTTCAAATTATTCTTTAGATCAAGCTCGTCACCGCTCAGGTCTAATGAATTTAATGTTTACAGAACCATGCATGCGGCCTCCTGTAGATGAGAGGAGCGAAGCGGAGAGGCTGGAATGGTATGGCCCCATAGACGGGGACATACCCGAATACTATGAGGCATACCACACATATATGCAAGGTATATGCATAAAATCATCAAGCAACGAGTAGATATTTATTAGTGATGATGGAGACAAATTACGGCTATGCAGCCATTGTTATAACCACATGGGCAGGCCAAACAACTATATGTCGAGAACCTCGTGGCATGGATTTTGTGCCCCGGTTCAATATATATCAACATTAAAATCATACTGTCATGGGTGCGGCAAATTTATAATGAACGCCATCCCGGCATTCTTATGTCGAGACTGCCTGGAGACATTTATAGTAAACCAGCGCGATTATGAAATAAGTAGGTTATATAGGAAAAGCTTGGAGGAAGAGGTAGTCATAAGGTATTTGTAAGATAAATTAAATTAGTATAGGGATCGCTTTATATAACTGTTAAATATGCCTGCTATTCTTGTTTTTTATATTTACTTTTAAGATACTTTTAATTTTTATACTTTTAATTTTATAAAAGTAGTTGTAAGATATTTATAAGATACTTTTAAGTTATTTTTAGTAAAATAATTGTATTTTTATATATATTAAAAAATTTATAATTAGTAAAAAGAGTTTTTCTTTCTCTTCCCTTTCCCAAGTACATAATAAGAAGCAGCGAGAAAACGCGAACCGTGATAGACATGAACGAATCGAGATAGGCGCGAAACGTGATAGTCGTGAGCGCGACAGGGGGAGCGATAGGGCGAGACAGGATGCGAGGAAGAGGATGCAAACAGGGAGAGAAGGAAATACGAGTGGAAAAAAAATAGACATCGTTTCGATATATAATATATTTTTGCTTACAGCAATTAAATACACTTCATAACACATGTTGTACATGTTTTTTATGGTTAGACCACCAATTGTAAAGTTAAAAAACATTTTGTAAAGCACAATTTGTTACATGTTTCTTGCAGTGAAAAGTATGTGCAACATCCAATTTATTTAGAGATGGTATGTCCTCATAGTCTACATCAATAGTTTCAATATAGACATCTCCTCTCGCGTCATTCAAGAGCATATCCTTCAGCCATTCTCGTTGTTCATGTCCTAGCAGTAATGCCAGCACCATCCTGCAAGACAGGAGTTCGTATTACTTTCTTTGAATCCTCGTCGCGCTTTCTTTGCAGGTGCGCGGCGGGTTTTTTTTCGCTGACTGTTATCATGGGCCGGCCGCGTCAGGTGTTCCTATATCTATTCTTTTAATTCTGTCACCTGTAATTTGCTCGTCGTGAGCTTCAGTCTCGTTCAGTCGCTGGTCTCCATCATGACGGCTTCACGAGCTACTTGCCATGCGGGCTTTGTCGTGTGTCGGCGATGCCGACGGTTTTTTCGGCCGTTGTACTGCTCGGCTTGTCACCCGCACGAGGACGAACGGCGTAGTGCCGTGGACGCGGGGCCTGTGTCCGACTTGGTGGAGGGTTCTAGCTGGGAATCTTCCCGCGCTACTGGACCTGTCCGGGGTTCGCCGCCTCCCCCGGCGTACGACCCACCCCATACCTACTCCGAAGCAATTGCTTACCGGGCGGGATCCGTTTGCGTCTCCATCCATGTTGCTTCGGGTGCTCGCTGGGTGTATTTTCGTTGAGGTGAGTGTCGTGGTCACTTTTCCCTTTTTACTGTGATTTCGAAAGCCACTCTTCGTTATATATGTCTATCTGTCTGTTTCGTTTACAGATGCTAGCTCAGCGGCTATCCGTGGCGGTGGTGGTGGTGGTGATGCGGCGCATTCCTTCCCGGGTCCGTCGGCGTCTACAAGTGTCGTCATTTACTTAATTCATACTTATACTTTAATTCATACTTATACTTTTTTATTTCTTTCACTTGTAGCTATATATAGTTTTGATGGCATTTTTGTATACATCGTCTTTTTCCTTTTTCTAATTATATATCTTTTTATTGAATTGTTTTTCTCTAGTTCATTTATCCTAGCCCGTATCCTTTATTCCTTTTCCTTCCCCCTTTCCTTGTAGTCTTAAGTAACGTATTTTCTTCTTAATGTTTTACAGAGTGTTTGAGACGGTTTACGTGTACCCGTAGGCTACTCGCGTATCTGACTCTGTCGTCATTATTTACCAGACATTTCAGTCCCTGTAATCCCATTAGAACCGAATTCATGAGACGTTGAAATGTAGTGGGGGCATTTTCCAACCCATATGGCTTTCGGTTATACTCATAATGGCAACAGGGCGTAGAGAACGCCGTTTCTTCCTTATCTTCTTCGGCCATTGGTATCTGGTGATACCCAGCTGCTAGATCGAGAGTGGTGGAATCCTTCGCCTTTCCTAGTTGATCTAGGATATTCACTATACTAGGTATAGGAAGTGGATCACCAACCGTTAAATCATTTACTTTTCGGAAACTATTCCATACTACCACTATTCGTAATTTCGGGTTTCCATTTGCACCAGCCTTCTTTGGTACGACTAAGTAAGGGCTCCTTCCATTGGCTCGCACTGGTGCAAATAATTTCGTTCGTCAACATATCGCGTACCTGCCGATTCCCTTCTTCTTTATGATTTTCTGGCAGGCGATATGATCGCACATTGACCGGGGCACTGTTTGCTTGCGTTGCAATATTAAGTTTCACAGCGCTCGTACACGTCAGGGTTCTCCCTCTGCGTGGAATACAGTATTGACATTTTTGCAGATTTCTATAATGGTTTTCCTTTCCTCGGCATTCAAATGTCCGGTGCGCAATCGTTTAATTACCTTCTCACGGCGTGATATGTTTCCAGCACTCTTTCTAACCTGTTGTTACGGCGGAATTTGATTGGGGTATGGCGCGCGTGAGAATGGCGTCGTCAGGAGTGGTTGCGAGTCTCCTCGCCAGGAGGGCTATGGGCGGCGTGCGTGTGCAGAGCGTTAGTGTGCCATCGAGAGTGTGTGTAGCGTTAGATTAGTGAGGCGAGAAGGGCGGTTCCGCAGCTCTGTTCGGCAAGGTATATCATCGCGATTACGATCCTGTATTCGAGTCGTCTGGCAATTAAAGTGAATCTCAGCAAACCAGTGTGGTTATTCTGCTACAAGCGTGGTTCACTCCTCGCGAAGCGGAGGAGTGAATAATATTCAAGTCGGAGGCGGATCAGGATAAAGAATCGGAGGAAATTGAAAACAAATACTTTCGATTAAAGGGCGCGATGGAAAGAATCGTAAAAGATAGAACGGTTAGGGCGGATGAGGGAATGTTAGACCGCACAGTGATACAGGCAAATGGAGCGGTCAATAATGACCTCGGCAGAGCCTGCGTTCCAGCATTCAACGCTCAAATTAAACTACCGCGGATAGAATTGCCCAGATTTTCAGGGGCATATGAGGAATGGCACTCATTCTATGATATGTTCGGTTCATTAATTCATTCAAATAGAGATCTTAACGATACTCAAAAACTTCATTACCTGAAATCCTTCTTAAAAAGGGAGGCCGCCGAGGTCGTGTCGTCGCTAGAAATGACCGGTGACAATTATCAAGATGCATGGGATAGGCTTAGAGAGAGGTACGATAACAAAAGGTTTACCGTTCAGAACCACATCAGGGCTATCTTTGATTTACCTGTCGTGAAAAGGGAAGACAGTGTCGTTATCCGACAAATATTAGACGGCGTGTTAAAGCACACGAGAGCTTTACGCTCATTGGACAGACCCATCGAGCATTGGGGCGACTTGTTAGTTCACATCGTCACGAGCAACCTAGATATGAAGTCAATAAAAGAGTGGGAGAACTCGATCGAGTCCACGCGAGTTCCTACGTTCGAGGAGTTAATAGAATTTCTAAAAAAAGGTGCCAGACGTTGGAGGCGGTTTCAAAGGTAGGAAGGTCGAATAGGGCCAATGCTAACTCGTTACAGGATAATGTGCAAAGGTCCAAAGGCTGTAACGTAGCCGCTACCAAATTTAAATGCTCATATTGCCAAGGAGATCATAGTGTTTACTCTTGCAAAGATTTTAAGGGTCTATCGGTAGACGAGCGCGTAAAATATATAAAATCAAAGGGTTGGTGTTTGAATTGCTTGAAGGGCAAGCATATGGCTAGGGATTGTTCGTTAGACGGATGCAAAACATGCAGCAAGCGGCATAATTCCTTACTGCATCCAGAGAGTCCCAAGGGTGAATCGAGCAGCGAATCGAGCCTCGGAAAGGCTAAAGTCGTTGCGGATAAAGAACAAGGGAACAGTGCGGCGTGTGGACATGCCTGTTCCACGGGATCATACCGGTCGAGTCAAATGTTGTTGTCTACGGTTTTGATTAAAGTAAAGCATAGCGATGGTCATTTTATCCAAATCAAAGCTCTTCTTGATAGCGGGGCGGAATCTAGTTTCATAACGGAATCTCTAGCGCAGCGTCTAAAACTAAGGCGTAAGGCTGCGCATATAGAAATCACAGGTATTAATCAGCAGGTGTCCAGGGCGTTGGAAAATACCGAGGTAGACGTTAAGTCTAGGTTCGGATCTCACGAATTTACGGTGCAATGTATAATTCTATCTAACCTAACGAGAAGGGTTCCTTACGTAAAGTTAGATAAGCAACAATTTAATATTCCGGGTAATATTAGGTTGGCAGATCCGCGATTCAACGTTCCTTCGGAAATCGATTTAGTGATAGGAACCGAATGGTTCTGATGTGCGTAGGGCAGATCAATTTAGGTCCTGGCAGACCGATATTGCAAAAAACCGTGTTAGGTTGGTTGATAGTCGGAACGGTGACGACGGGAAATTTAGGACGCAAGCGATACGCTTCCTGCAACCTGAGTAGCGTCCGAGAACTGGATGAAGCACTACGGCAATTTTGGAAAATTGACGACATTCCTGTGAGAGGGGAGTCTACCATTGATGAGTTGGCCTGCGAGGAATTCTTCGAGAATACGTACGAACGGAACGCAAAGGGAAGATTCGTAGTCAAGCTGCCTGTAAAGGAGGACGTTATGAAGCAAATGGGCGAGTCGAAAGATATTGCTCGACGACGTTTTTTATCGTTAGAAAGGAGGCTAGATAAGGATCATGATCTGAAGAAAGAATACGTTCAGTTCATGCAGGACTATGAGAGATTAGGCCATATGAAACAGATAGATGAGCCACGAAACGTTAGATTCAGGATTTTCTTACCGCACTAAGCTGTAGTGAGAAAGGATAGGACATCCACGAAGACCCGAGTCGTATTCGACGCCTCGAGTAAAGACAGCAAAGGAGTATCCCTCAATGACGCGTTGCGCAAGGGTCCGACACTTCAGTCTGATTTGTTCACGATAATTCTCATGGTTTCGCTGTCATAGGTACATCTTGACCGCAGATGTTAAAATGTACAGGCAGATACTGGTGCACGAAGAGCATACGCCTCTTCAGACGATCTACTGGAGGGAGAATTCCACCGAAACCATGAGGCTGTACGAGTTGGTCACGTTGACCTACGGTACAAAACCTGCGTCTTATATCGCAGTCAAATGCTTGCAGAAGTTGGCGAAGGAAGAAGAGGATAGATTTCCTTTGGCAGCAAAGGCGATAAAAGAAGATCTTTATATGGACGATCTGTTAACGGGTGCAAGTACGGTGGAACAATTAGTGGCACTGAAGTGCCAATTGGAAGCGCTATTAGAACAAGGTGGATTCGAGCTGCACAAATGGAATAGCAACGTTGAAGATTTAGGCAACAAGGACACGCTGGATCTTGGGGAATTTGTCGAGTCAGAACCCCACCGAGGGGCAAAGTTACTGGGTATAGGTTGGCTTCCCAAAAGAGATGCATTGTATTTCACAACCCCGAAAGGTCAAAGGGAGGATCGGATTACTAAGCGAACCATACTGTCTGAAATGGCTCGATTATTTGACCCTCTGGGTTTGGTAGGCCCCATAACTACGTCCGCGAAAATGCTGATGCAGAGTCTATGGGATTGACAAAATAGGTTGGGATGATTCGGTTCCGATGCATATTCAAACTTCTTGGTCAACGTTCAGGTCGCAGTTGTCCGAGTTGAGTTCCATAGAAATACTGAGGCTGATGCAGGGCTTCGACGTGTGTCAGGTTCGTTTACATGGATTTAGTGATGCGAGCGAGAGAGCATATGGAGCTTGCGTGTATGTGGTGTGTCGGCACTCCAATCATAACGTTGGTTCCACACTAGTGTGTTCCAAGTCCCGAGTCGCGCCTTTAAAGGCTATATCCCTACCAAGGTTGGAATTGTGTGGGGCATTGTTGTTAGTTAAATTGATGAAAAAGGTTGCGGAAGCCGTGAAGGTTGACATTTCAGAGAGGCACTATTGGACGGATTCCAAAATAGTTTTAGCTTGGATAGGTTCGCCTTCCAGGAGGTGGCAAACATTTGTGGCAAATAGGGTGAGCGAGATTCAGGATAGTTCGTCTCCAAACGAGTGGCGCCACGTAAAGTCACGGGATAATCCTGCCGACATGATATCTAGAGGGTCAACTCCCGCGCAGTTGAATAGCTCTACGTTATGGTGGGAAGGTCCGAATTGGTTAAAAACTGAGACTGATTTTTCAGAAACTGAAAGCCGTGGTGCGGATCTGGACGGTATACCCGAAGAGCGCAAGGTGGCGTCGATGGCGATAGCTATAGTTAGTAATACCGTCGTGGAATTCGACAAGTTTTCTTCCTACTCTAAGTTGTTGCGTGTCGTGGTTCACGTATTGAGATTCATAAGCGGTTTGAGAAAGCGCGCTAACACGGATGCGACAGAATATATTTCTTCGGTAGAGTTAAGGGAGGCGCGAAATGTAATAATTAGATTAGTCCAAGCAGCGGCTTGGAACGACGAAATCCGTAAATTAAGCGATAACCAGGCGATCAATAGAAACTCTAAGTTAATTGGTTTGAAACCATACATAGGCAAGGACAAGCTCGTGAGGGTGGGCGGAAGGTTAGATCGTTCGTCATTGGATGAGGACGCGAAGCACCCACTGATTATTCCGTCCGAGCATTACGTCACCAAACTAATTGTTATGGAGAAACATAATAAGTGTTTCCATGCTGGGCCTACGGCTACGTTGGCGGCAGTAAGGTCTGAGTTCTGGCCGATTTCCGGGCTAAGCGTCGTGAAGAAGCATTTGAGAAATTGTGTGGTGTGTCGCAAGGCGGACCCGATGCCATATCAGCAACTGATGGGGCAACTTCCGGAGGCGCGAATGCAAGTGTCAAGACCATTTGCAAGGGTAGGAGTGGACTACTGTGGACCCTTATTCGTGAGAGACCGTGTGAGAAGAAACAGTAAGCAGTACAAAGCTTACGTGGCTGTATACGTGTGCATGGCAACGAAGGCGGTCCACATCGAACTAGTGGACGACATGACCACTGAGGCGTTCATAGGATCCCTGAAGCGATTTACGGCGAGACGAGGATTACCGTCGGACATTTATTCCGATAATGGCAGGAACTTGGTCGGGGCAGAAAGAGAGATCCAACGAATTCTCAACGATCCTCAATTTAAGAAGAGGATCCCTGAACACTGTTCCGTCGAGAGTGTGAACTGGCATTTCATCCCAGCTAGAGCACCGCACTTCGGCGGTCTCTGGGAGGCGGCAGTCAAGACTATGAAGCGACATCTAAAACGAACAATAGGAGAGGCGTCGCTCACTGTAAGCGAGATGATTACGGTCTTAACCCAAATCGAGGCGATCATGAACTCGAGACCTATCACTCCGCTTTCTGATGATCCGCGGGATTTGGAGGCGTTGACTCCCGCGCATTTTCTTATTGGCAGTTCGATGGCAGCGTTACCTGAACACGATCTACAGGAGGTACCGACGTCTAAACTGTCCAGATGGCAGCACTTCGAACAACTCCGTCAAAGGTTTTGGTCGCGATGGTCGCGGGAATATCTGTCCGCGTGCCAGCAGCGGTCCAAGTGGAAAACTTTAAAGCGCGAAACAATACGCGCGGGACAGCTAGTGATGCTAAAGGAAGATGAGGCGATGCCATACAAATGGACGATGGCGAGGGTGTTGGAGACGCATCCGGGCGTCGACGGAGTAGTGCGCGCCGTAACGTTGCGTACTGCTAAGGGGCAATATAAAAGGCCCATAGTAAAGTTGGCACCTGTGCCTTGTGACTAACTGCAATCGATCTGCGATTTATGTTCTTGAGGTCTTAGAGACCATTCATGTAATACTCTGCGTTAGGATAAGATTAATTTTAAGAAAAATTATACCAAAGCGTTAGTGACTAAGTTAGTTTAAGAATTCTGAGAATTGTAAACCTTTTCAGAAGCGGCTGGTTATAAGTTTAGTTGTGTGTTGTACACTTGAGAGATATGGTTGAAAACGTGTTACCCGTTTATCAAGGCGGGCGGCATGTTACGGCGGAATTTGATTGGGGTATGGCGCGCGTGAGAATGGCGTCGTCAGGAGTGGTTGCGAGTCTCCTCGCCAGGAGGGCTATGGGCGGCGTGCGTGTGCAGAGCGTGAGTGTGCCATCGAGAGTGTGTGTAGCGTTAGATTAGTGAGGCGAGAAGGGCGGTTCCGCAGCTCTGTTCGGCAAGGTATATCATCGCGATTACGATCCTGTATTCGAGTCGTCTCGCAATTAAAGTGAATCTCTGCAAACCAGTGTGGTTATTCTGCTACAAGCGTGGTTCACTCCTCGCGAAGCGGAGGAGTGAATAATATTCAAGTCGGCCTTACGAACCGACAGTACACCTGTGCTGCATTTATTTCTTCTGTCTCCCTCAGCCCAATTTCCACAAGTTTTACTTGCAGCATTGGCTTGTAGGGGTACAGCTTCAAAGTTTTCCGTCCTATGTTAACTTGTTTTTTCCCATAATCGCATTTTACTTTATGTCTCTTCACGAAATCTACTCCTAGAATTCTGTCATACTCCATGGGAAAGTCGTCTTTGACTACATATAGCGTGTGCTTTATTTGCAGTTCGTCTAAGTTTATCTTGGTGTAAATCTTGCCTATTGTTTTCACCTTATGGCCTGTTATCCCCGTAAGCGTTATCTCGTCTTCTTCTATTATTGTTTTCCCTTTCAACTGCGCTACCTTTATCAAGGAACAGCTATGAATGCCGACCTATGTTCGCCCATGGGGCGGCTACGGCCACCTTCCGATGCTTTATTTGTTGCGTTTCTGCGAATTCGTTAAAATCTCGCGACGTGAATGCCGTACCTCGGTCCGACACGACTTCCGACGGTCTGCCGAAGGTATCGAATATATTTTTTAGTAAGCTAATCGTTTCTTTCGATCCCGTAGATTTCGTGGCATGCAGCCACGTGAACCGAGTGAACGCGTCGACCGCCACTAATATGTGCCGGAATCCGTCGGCGGACTCAGGCAACGGGCCGAGGCGGTCCACGTGCACCACTTCCATTGGCGCCTCGGGAAGGGGGACGAGCTGAGTCTCGCCCTCGAATCGATTCGAGGCGCTATTCGCCATCACGCAGGTGAGGCAATTCCCCACGTAATCGTGGACGACCTTCCTCATGGACGGGAACCAGAAATTTTTCGAGATGCCCATGATTGTTTTTTCGGCTCCGCAGTGAGCCATCTCGTCATGGTGGGCTCTTATTAAACTGGCTATCATTGAATCTGGTACCACGAAGCGTTTCTGGTTCTCGTCCTTCTTATAAACTAAGTCATTTATTAACTCGAATTTTTTATCCTCTCTGATTTCTAATTTTTTACTTGTCTCCAAAATTTTAGGATCCGTTAGCTGCCGCAGCTCCAACTCCCGCTCGAGAGGCAGTTCGTGCACATAAGCCGTACATCGACTTAAGGCGTCCACATGGGACATGCGCTTGTCTGGACGGTGAGTTAATTTAAACCTATAATTTTGGAGAGCGAGCGTCCATCTCGCTATTCGCGGGTTGAGGTTCGCCTTATTCACCGCTTACACTATCGCGTTACAATCTGTAACCACGGTGAACTCCAACCCGTAAAGGTACAGATGGAAACGCTCGATTGCCCTGACTATTGCTAGCATTTCGAGCTCATATCTGTGATACCTGTTCTCAGCTTGATTCGTGCTCTGGCTGTAAGAGGCTACCGGGGACCACTGACCGTTTTTCTGTTTTTGCAGGAGAATTCCTCCTAAGCCCGTGTTACAGGCATCCGTATGCAATTCCGTCGGCGCGGCCGGATTGTATAATTGGAGCACCGGGGGTGACGTTAACTCCCGCTTTAATCTTTGAAACGCGTCGATACAGTGGTCGTCGAAAACGAATAGTACGTCCTTTTTTACTAGCTCTTGTATGGGCTTCGCAATCTGCGCGTACCCCTTAATAAACCACCTAAAATAATTTGTTAAGCCGAGGAATCTTTGAACTTCTAATACCGTGCGTGGTTGCCTGAAATTTTTAACCGCGTCGGTATGCCTCGGACTTAACGTTATTCCGTTCGCGGATATTACGTATCCTAAAAATTCTATTTCTTTTCTCAAGAACTGACATTTCTCATAGTTCAGTTCGAATCAGTGATGCCAGAATGGACGCGCTTTTTAGCGCATGCGCGTCGATTTGAGGCTCACTGAAGTACCTACTACGGACAAATAGGTGTATCGCTAGTCGCCCGTAAGAAATTTTCTTGAAGAAAATTCTAAATGATAATTTTTTACCGGCGGTAGACCGTTTTAACACCGACACATCTTTCTGTCTGCATATAACTATACTACATTATACATATTAATATATAAAAAAACATCTATCCTCCTGTACGACGACGGCCGATGAGTTCAGACAGGTCTTGCGCCCATTATACCAATACTGACACGCCACTGGATATCTGCCATTTCTACTGCGCATGCGCTGAAAAGCGCGTCCATTCTGGCATCACTGGTTCGAATCCGTATTTTTTCAGAGTCCGAAGGACCGTTTCGACATCTTCAAGACTTCGGTCGACCGCGAGGCTATTACACGTCGTCCATGTACACGAGTACTTTATCGTCGCGGAGAAGCGGGTTAAGTATTTGCACCAGCCGCTTCTGGAACTCCGCGGGCGATTCGCAAAAACCAAAAGGTAGTCTGTTAAATTCATACTGCCCGTCCGGCGTCGCGAACGCGAAGTATTTCGTGGAATCTTTATGTTGTACTCTAATCTGGTGAAAACTATCTTTTAGGTCTAAGAGTGTGAAAACGGACCTGTCGGTTAACCTAGCCAGGCACTCTTCAATAACTGGGAAAGGGTATCGCTGCCGCTCGACTCGTGCGTTTAGCGGTCTCAAGTCGACTCAGAGTCGCATTTGCCCGCTCCTCTTACGGACTGGCACTACCCCTAGCACAGTACGGGGAAGTGCTAGTTTTCACGATTCCGCGAGCCAGCAGGTCATCTATGATGGCCCTGATTTGGAGACGTTCCGCGTAGGCAAATCGCCTCGGTGAGAAGGAATATGTCGAGTTGTCTTTTAGCCGGACCTGAACTTCATAATCGTCCTCTACCGGTCCGTACTCAGTTTTGTGGACGCCTATTATTATGTCCTTCAACCGTTGCTGATCTCTGTATTCTAAATCTCTGACTTTATTTTCTAGTGTTTCCTCTAAGGCCTCTGGAAACTTCGACTCGACATACAAGGGCAATTGGGCAAACAACCTAACGCTCTCCTTCTCACCTTGGCTCGACGGTTTAAAAATCAAGGTGAGTTTCTGTTGCTGCAAGAACTCTCTTCCCAAAATAATATCTCCTTCAAATATATTATCTTTGAGGACATGTAAATTTACCGAGAGTCCTTTGTTCGCGATCTGTTTCAAACTCAGCTTGACCTTCGCCGTTCCTATAATCTCTAACGCGTGATCGCTTAAATTTCTAAGCCGACTTTCATACGGGGCTAACTCTAAATTTAACGGTTTTATCCATCGCTCATAAACGGTATATTTCGCGAATGACACAGGGCTTCCTGTATCGACCAATGCTAGCAAGTTACATCGCTCACCATTGATGTCTTCTACTCCTACCAGAGGATCGGTGATCTCTAGGCGGTTCCCTGGCTGATCCACCGACGCTACGACCTCGTCTGCCGATGACGGCTCCTGCATCACGCTCGCTGCTGCCCTGGCCGTTGCTGACGACGTTCCCGGCTTCTCATCCTTCCGCTTCAGGGCCGGACATTCGAACCGCCGATACCCTTTCTTTTTGCAATAAAAGCAGCTTGGCTCGGCTTGGCAGTCCTTCGTCAAATGGCCCTTACCCCCGCAGTTCCTGCATGGAGCTTCCTTGGGCTTAGCGCTCGTTTCAGGCGGCGTCGGTTTCCGCTCCGTGTCCACTACCCCTTCCGCGATGACTCTCATCCTCTCCAGGAAGCGGTTTAGCGGGTCTGTGGCCATGGACAGCGCTGTCGCCTTGACCGCGCTGTTCGTGATTCCGCCAATCAGGAGCTGAATGCTATCTTCCTCCGGTAAGTTGAGCACTTGGATAAGCGCCAACTTCTCTATCGCGTATCGGTAAAATGTCTCTTTGCCCAGCTGCCACTTCCGGGCTTCGATTTTCTGCATAGATTTATAGAATGGTATTTTTCTCTCAAACATTTTCTTCATCTCTAGGCGCAGTCCGACCCAGGACTCTATGGCTGCTCTATGGCTGCAGGACTCTGCTCCCGTCTGGAGCTCGTACCACCTACGAGCGGATTTGGTCAGCCTGCTCAAGGCTGCCAAGAGCGTGGCCCCGTCCGACGCTCCGTGGACTTGGGCGACCTTGTCCACCCGATTCGCCCAAGCTTGGATGTTGTCATCCTCTCCTCCGGCGAACTACGGTATCTGCTGCGGAAGGTAGTTCACCAGACTTCCTGTCGGTAGACTGCTTCCGGAACTTTGGGCCGCCAACGGGCTGCCTATTGGAGTCGTGGCTGACTCCGCCCGCGCGGCTTCCGGGGGTTTGTCTCTTCTTGTCTGGTTCGTATTGTTCATGGCTAACAGGCATCAACCGCTCGAATTGCTCCTGTTGAGCCGCTCTCTGCCTCTCGAATTGTTCTTGCTGCTTTTTCTCAGCTTGTTCTCTCCTTTTTTCAGCCTGCTCCAGCATTCCCTGTACGGACTACAGAACTTGTTGCAGCAGGATCGCCGGTACCTGCTCGGCGGAGCCTGCCGAGCCTTTCCTTGGCTTACCGCTCCGGTCGCCGAAGCCTTTGCTGCCTCATCTTGTAAGTCATGCAGCCCCTGTTTCTCAAGGTGCCGCATGATGTTTTGGATTATCGAGTCACGGTCACCCGTAATGGACAACCTGTATTTGCTTGCCTCTTCCTTCAATTGTTCCAGGGAGAGGGCCTCAAATTTAGCTTTCTCCATAGCTGAATTAGCGCGAGTTTTTACCATACGGCCCGAAGGTTCTCTCAGCCCTCTATGAGGCGGGAAATGAGTGGGAATCCCACTTCTGAAAGCTGTAAGGATTTTTATAAGGAAATCAGGTGGGGCGGTTAAGAACCGAGAGATCCAGTATAATTCGTAGCACTTGATAAACTATGTATATATATTTAAACAAATAAAATGAACAGTTACAATGAGTTTCCAGATTCAACTTTACACTGACTCTAAGGCGACGGGTTCACAAGACTCGCGCGCGAGACTAAGTTCGATCGGATGACTCTCGAGATTCTCCTTGCTTCTGCTCGCTTCCGCTCGGGATCTCTTCTCGGAGGAGAGTGAATCAGTGATCGGAGATTGCGGGATTTCTGGCGCACGCGCAGTAGCGCGAGCCTTTCTGCCATGCGCATAGCGATCACGTGACTACCATGAAAGACTCGTGCATACCAGGCAACGTGGGGGGGTTTCTAGGGACCAGTGTAATAATTTATTATTAAATTTTACATCAATTTTTTATTAAAACTTATATTAATGACAGATATCATATAAAGCAGTTTATTCAACATGTACATTAATGTTATATGAGTTGTAATAAAGAGAGAGAAAGAGATAATTTTATAAAACAGTAAATAATAAATAAAATAAATATACCGATTATAGAAGCTATTCAGCAAGTGGCACAGAACACAAGTATCGTGCTATTTTTGTTATTTATTAAATGCTCAAAACAGATAGAATGTTAGTGTCAACTTATGTGACTTGCTGGAAAGTTTCCAAAACGTTTATGTATATATAATATTCTTTTAATATACAAATTATTTTTTAAACAAACTTGAACACAATACATATTTTATAGAAATTTTAGAAAATACTTCTGGAAAAGAACAAATTTATGTAATTAATATTATCACGAG